GCATGCATCCAAGAGATCTATCACCAAGAACAACTGAGTTGACTGCATCCCTATGTGGAGAGTTGATAGTGTCTAACTCCAGACACACTGATCAAGAATGTAGACAGGGCAATCCAAAACTGCAAAAAAAATTATGGCCTTTGTTTCCTACCCTAACATTTTTCCTTGGTTCTTGCTGCTGACACGTTGCTTTAAAACATTTCTAACATCCCTCTGTGCATCATACATACACACTTTTGGTCTATGTATATTTGTCTGTAAAGTGATTATTCTAATCATTTCAAGAATGGAGACTGACAAATCAGGAAACATAGTTAATTAGCCAATCCAGAATAAGCAGAGATCATGCATCATGGTACGAACCATTTAATGCTGTCTCTGACTTAACTAAATACAAGCAGATAATCTTTCAGGATGGTGGATTTGGACAGGGGGGTTCAAACTTTTTCAGGCCACAGAACCCGTTAATTCATATCTATCTATCTACCTACCTACCTACCTACTCCAAAATCCCTGATCAAGAGGCAGTCACTCTCCCTAAGTCATTCCTACCTCACAGAGTTGTTGCTGTGGGAAAAACTGAGAAGACAGAATGTTGTGTATGCCAATTTAATCTCCTCAATGTAAGGCTAATAAATACATTGAAAATAAAAATAATGTCTTTCCCTGCAAAAGGAGAAAGATCTAAATAGACTGTTCCTTAATCGCATTCAAAGAAAGCTCATGATGAATGCATCTTATCAGTGGATCAGCAACTCTTTATCTTCAAAAAAATCTTTCATATTCATGGTTTGAGGACAGATTATCCAAAGAAATGTTTTCATGTATATCAATCCTTAACTTGCTTCCATGCCCTCCTGCCAAATCAATTAGGTATGTTGATGTAAGGGACAGAGCTCTTTCACTGGTAACTCTACAGCTGTGGAATACTTTCTCCATGACTGCAAAGATTTAAATAGGTTTTAAAAACTTAATAGTTCAGAATCAGCTGTGCATAACTTTTCATGTTCTGCTATTTAGCTTGTTTTTTTAACACTGAAAATTTTATTTGATTTTTGTTGTATTCTGCTGAGCATAACCTTTTGGAATTCATTTATTTTGATGTTATTTCTTATGGTTGTTTATATGTTGGAAGCTGCTTTTAAAGTACGATTCTTAAAAAGGCAGGATAGAAATCTAGTAAAAATAAATATTGTAAATATCTAATATTGCAATTAAATAAAACTAAGAAGCTCAATCAAAGGTTGTAAGGGACTGAATCCATAAACGATGCTGCTCAGTCCTTGTTGGTGTTACACAACAGCACATGGTGGAATGTAATTCCTTAGACTGTAGGAGACTACTGCTATGGAGGTGATAATATCTTTCTGCTGCATCACTGATCTCTTAAAAGAAAATTCTCAGAATTTCAGGGAATATTGAGTGGGACTGATCCAAATACATTAGACAGTGATAAAACAACAAGATCCAGTAACTGAACTCAGCCATAGCAGTCTTGATAATGTAAGGCTGCTGGCATCTCTGTTCTCATAATAAATATAAATGACGAGACATAGAACAAAGGTTATAAAAGCACATGTGAGCCATAGTTCCTTGCTACTAGAGATCACATATAAACTATGTTCTTAGTATCACCCAGCGGTGTCCAAGTAGATAAATTAATGGAAGATAAGAATAATAATAATGATGATGTATGCAGAGATCACCCAGAAGGGCCCCAAACCAGCACTCTATAAACGGTACGATCTGCTCTAGGCTAGGAATAATCCCTCCTGCCTCCTGCCCAGATCCAGAGGAGATCAATTAAAATACATCCAAATTGTAAATGCACTGAAATTCGGGCAGGGAAGATTGAAGTTACATACTATGAAGACTAAGTATAATAGGAAAATGATCAAAGGAAGCCTAGTCAAAATATGATGTTGAGACACTTGATAATTGAGGGAGAAGCTTATAAAAGGATATTAAGAAAGAGTGACAAATTGGGAATAAGTGTTTGTCTCCTAATGAGGAGTCATGCCTGGGTCAAGAAAGCTGCCATTACAAAAACGGGTGGGAATCAGAAAAATGTAGACCTTCCAGGCAGATTTTAAAAAATCTTTCTTTACCAACCCTCCTTTGGTTTTAACAGCTTGCCCACTCTGGCTAACACAGGTGTTGTGCAATTGCTATATTGACTTGTCCCATGAGAAAAGTTGAAGGAAAAAAATGCAAAAGGGAAAAACAAAACTTAGCGTGAGCATTGCGTTCTCTCATCTTTTTCAGACTAGATGATCTGAATAGAGAGAATACACCAAAATGCAACAGGCCAGACCCCAGAAAAAATGACTGCTAGAGCATGAGACCTCCTCTACACGTTGCTAGAGAATAGAATTAAAACAAATAAATGAAGGAGGTGGTCTGAATGAAGGGCAACAGGTTTTGGGGGGGAGGGCATTCTTTCCAGGATCAGTTTGGAAGAGTACGGACCTACAGCCAGGATTCTGGACAGAATGGATTCAGATCTGTCCACGTTCCAAAAGGAAACTGAGAATGTGCCTGAAGCCATCCCATTGCATCTCAGGATCCAGGCTCTAGGTGCATCTGATGCACATCCTGACTGGCAACTAGTCCTTAGGGCAGGGTTCCTCAACCTTGGCAACTTTAAGATGAGTGGACTTCAACTCCCAGAATTCCCCAGCCAGCAATTCTGGGAGTTGAAGTCCACCCATCTTAAAGTTGCCAAGGTTGAGGAACCCTGCCTTAAGGCAACTAGTCCTTAAGTTCCTCTGAATAACAGTTGCTGGGGAACATAAACAGAATGGCATCATTGCACTCATGCCCTATTTGTGAGCACTGGGCGGGCTATGATGAGACTAGAATGCTAGACTGGGCTGGCCTGATCTAGCAAAGCTCTTAAGGAAAACAGTAACCAGCTACCAATCACCTGTGGGTAGTGGAGACACAGGAAAGAAGCCACTGCACATGTAAATGGATCTCAGTTCCATGAATTTCTCTTGATGAGTTATCATAGCTTAAAAAAAGATCAACACCACTTCTTTGCCTTCAGGGCAAGAGGGCTCTGCCTACTTTTGGCCCCTCGTATGCTCCCAAGTTGTGGAAGGAGAAGCTGCTATCTCTCTCTGGTAGCTCAATGCGGAGGGCTGGGTACACTGCGCCCAGTCTTAACAGCTGTACCGTCGAAGGAAAGAAGAACAGCTGCTTTCAGCCATTTGCTTATTTGAGTAGACAACTGTGCATTCGAAGCAATTGCCTCTACTCCTGCACATGCTCTCCTCTTGGCAGCACGGTGGGAAGAATAAATCTATTCCCAACTGTTTTTCTCTTCAAAGAGGACAAAGACTGAGTGGGGTGCTGTGGACTCAAGTCTTCCTCACTGTGCCTCTCCTGTTCACTCACTTTGCTTGAGCAGGTGAACAAACCAACTCCTCTCTGCCCTGGCTTCTCCAAAGGGGGAAAAGGGGTGGTCTGTATTTGTTCAACTGAGCCCTGGAAGGGGCCACCCTTTCCTCCCTTCCTCTCTTTGGGCACTACTGCTGTGTTGAGTTGAGGTGGTGGCTATGTTCACACAACCTGCTCAGCCAATAAGCTGAAATAATTAATGGAGAGGTGTGTGCCATCATCTTAAACTGCTCTTCCTCCCATCTCAAACTCATTCACCAAGGCCAGAAACTTTCAAATTCTGGCTTTTGCAAATTCAAAACAGAAGCAATTCTGGTTCAGATGGCCTACCTGCCAAGCCTCTGACGCTGATTATCAAGCTACAAGTGACCAGAGTAAGGTGACAGTGCACACATCTTTGTTGACTCCTTCTGTTGTGTGAACATGGCCCATGCTTGCTCTTTGCACAAGAGCAAAAGTGAGCAGAGACAGAAGTTCTTGGCAAACTGCCTCTTCTGCTTATTTATCTAAATGGGCCAGTGAGTCACAGAGTTGGCTAAAAAAAGCTGCTGCCAGTCTCTTTACTCTCTGATGGCAGAGTGTCTGAGATTGAATGCTGTGGACCAGATGCTACCTCCTCAGCTTTCCGGAGGCGAAGGGCAAGCAAAGGAAGACCCGTTGTCTCCCACAGCTGCAGCGACCATGGCTTGCTCAGTCGTCACTTAAACTGGGAATGAGCCATGGAGTTGGTTCTCTGCACTATCCAGAATGGGGCTGGGTTCAAGCTATATACTATAATGGTTAGGTTTATGCAGCACACTGAGTCATAAACCAAGGTTTGCAGACCACAGCAGCTGGGTTTGATCACAAACCACATTATGATTTAGCGCAATCCTGAATTCATTCACAGGGTGCAGACAACAGGTGTTCCCTACTACTGATGCTCTTCCACTCACCATGGAGCAGCAACCTCCACCACACCAAACCCAAGCCAAGCCAAAGGAAGATGGTCTCTCCTCTGATCTGTCACTCCGCTGCCTGCCTACACTTTAGTAGGCGAGGAGGGTCGCTGAAGGGACAAACTTCCTAAGAAGCCCTCTGGCTGACAGTGGATGTTGTCCCACCTCAGTGGCAACCCATCAAGATTTGGCCTTGGCAGTTGCCCAAAACGGCTGGCTCTCCAGCAAACGCTCTGAATCAGGACAGGGCAAAGATTTAAGGCTCGGGAGGAAGTTCGGAGAATAAAGAGAGGGAAAGGCTCTGAAAGGAAAGAGGCATTTCCAGGCTAGATCTTCAAATCCAAGCAGCCAAGTTTAAACTCCAGGGGGCGAGAGGGTTCCCAAACGGGAAGAATAGATAGCAGTGTAATTCTCTGGTTTAATACCGTAACATCCAGGAATTGAACCCAGGAGAGTGACTGAGAGAGGAGGAAGGGAGAGATGTCCCAAGCGAGAAAGAGGAAACGGCGAAAGCCTTCGCGGTGGAAGGAAATCGCTCGGTCCCTCCGCCCCCAGACCCAGGGAGAGCATTCAGCGCGAGGACATGCCGCCGTAGGACCCGGCAGGACCCCTTTTTCCCAAGGAGAAGAGAGTTGGTATCCCCCGACAGGGGCTGCTCACCTCGAACATGAGCGAGATCAACACGCAGAGCACCAGGCAGAAGCCGATGTCAGCGTGGTTGTGGATGAGAAACTCCTGGCTGAAGAGCGGGTGGCTTTTAGCCCGCCTGCGGAACGCCATGGCCGGCAGGGACGCGAGCGAGCAGCCCGGCCCCACCGCCCTTGCCTCCGCCCAGCGCCGCCAACTTCTCCCGGCCCCCGGACAACTTCGCGAGCAAGGCAGACAGGGGCCAGAACCCGACCCGCCGCCC